AAAAAAAAAAAAAAAAAAAAGGATATTTTAATTGTTCTACTTTTACAGAAGAAATACAGGACCATGACCTTATGCCATGGCACCAAGAAAACCAAAATGACCTTGAAGTTTACAAAGATGTCAGCAAATTTTCCCTTGGATATAATTTTAATTTATGCAAAAGTATTGTTTCTTTAACACAAAGGTACAATAAGTTTGGCTCATATTGTAAAAGCTTGAAATCTCTTTTAGGTTTTGTTATCCTGAAAGGAAGATATGCAGAAAAGGATTCTGATGACTTTGGTGGATATGGCAAGTCATGTCTCTGCATTAAGCATGACAAAACTCTTATCAGAATTAAATACCAGAAATATGTTAACCCCAGTAACACTAAATCACAGCTCAATGACTGTCAGAAAATGTATACAGGAGAGAAGCCATATGAATACAGTGAGTGTGGGAGAACCTTCTTCAGGAAAGCACAGCTCATTAGACATAAAAAAAACGAAAGAGTAGAGAAACCCCATGGATGTAATGAGTGTGAGAAAGTCTTCTCCAAAAAGTGCCTGCTCAGAGTACATCAGCGATCTCACACTGGAGAGAAACCCTGTAGATGCAGTGTATGTGGGAAAGCCTTTTCCCAAAAATCATATCTCACTGTACACCAGAGACTTCATACAGGAGAGAAGCCATATGAATGCAGTGAGTGTGGCAAAGCCTTCCACAGGAAATCACATCTCCTTATACATCAAAGAACTGAAAGAGGAGACAAACCCCATGGATGCAATGAATGTGGAAAAACCTTCATGAAGAAGAGTCAGCTTACTCAACATCAGCGAACTCATACAGGAGAGAAGCCTTATGAATGCACTGAATGTGGAAAAGCCTTTTCCCGAAAGTCCCAACTCACTCTACACCAGAGAGTTCATACAGGAGAGAAGCCATATGAATGCAGTGAGTGTGGCAAAGCCTTTTACAAGAAATCACATCTCCTTAGACATCAAAGAACCGAAAGAGGAGAGAAACCCCATGGATGCAATGAATGTGGAAAAACCTTCATGAAGAAGAGTCATCTTACTCAACATCAGCGAACTCATACAGGAGAAAAACCGTATGAATGCACTGAATGTGGGAAAGCCTTTTCCCAAAGGGCAAGTCTCAGTGTACACCAGAGACGTCATAGAGGAGAGAAACCATATGAATGCAGTGAGTGTGGGAAAGCCTTCCTCAGGAAAGCAGATCTTCATGGACATCAAAGAACTGAAAGAGGAGAAAAACCCCATGGATGCGATGAATGTGGAAAAACATTTGGTAGGAAGTTTCAGCTCACTGAACATCAGAGAACACACACAGGAGAGAAACCCTACAAATGTAATGAGTGCAACAAAGCCTTTACACGCAAGTCAGCGCTCACTAAACATCTGCGAACTCATACTGGGTAGTGACCTTGTTCATGCAGTGAATGTGGTAAAGCCTTTGCCCACAAGTCAGTCCTTATTGAACTTAAGAAAATTCACATGAGGGAAAGCTAAAAATTCACTGAAAATAGAGAAACCTTTCTTAGGGAGTCATACCTTTTCATGTATATTCATACATGAATAAGAAAATTTTAAGAAGAAAATTTTATGAACACAGTTCCTGTAGAAATGCCTTCTTCAGGTATCCAGCCCTTATTAAACATCAGTGAGCTCCTAGGGGGTAGAAACGTAGTTAATTTTGGAACAGATTTTTCCAAGAAGTCCAGTCTTAGTAGGTAATCAGGAATTTGAACAGAGAATAAGTCTTGCAAATTAAGTCAGTGTGATCCCTTCAGTAATAATTTATGCCTTAAATGTTACAGATGTTATGCAGGAAAAAAATCCTGTGATAGCAGAAAGGTGGCAAAGTCTTAAGCTAGATTCTTTCAACCATTATATGTCAAAGAGCTCAATTGGGGAAAAGACACTGAATGCAGAAGTTGAAGAGGACACGCTTATGAGAAGTTAGATTTATTAAACTTCAGTGCAATGATTTTGGTTAGAAATGCATCTATTATGGGGAAGCCTTAGCCTGAAGGTGATATCTCAATTGGTATCAATTCTTAGAAGAATATTCAGAAAATGGTGTGTGGTGATTTCAGTGCGAAATTGTACTTCACCATTTGTCAGATAAAGCACGTTTAGAGACAGTAGATATAGAAAATACTTTTAGTAAAAAGTGGGAGAATTTATTATACAAAGGAGAATTGCTTAAAAGCAAGAAATAAAGGAAATTCATTAAACTAACTTATGTATTGCACTTTTATACTTTGGGAGTCTTGGAGAGACTCCTTTAATCAATAAACTCTTAAACACCAGCATTTGTATTACATAATGAAAGCCCATGAATACAATGTATGTGGAAGTACAACTATGTTAGTTTTTTAAGGCCTCTGTACCTAACTACCACAAATTTGCTATCTTGTAACGACAAAGAGTTATTATGTTACAGTTCTGGAGCTTTGCAGTTCAATATCGAGTGAATGGACTTAAATTGTTGGCAGAACTGTTATTTATTTTTGGAGGCTGTAGGGGAGAGTCTCTTTCCTCCCTTCCAGCTTCTAGAAGCTGTTCGAGTTCTATGGTGTGTGGCCTTAAAGTAGTCAGTCAGCTACTGTATCACTGACACTGATTCTTCTGCATCCATCTTATGTTTAAGGACTCTTGTGGTTACACTGGAAACATTCAGGTAAACCAAGATAATCTCACTGTCTTAAAATTATGTAACAACCATAATATCTGTTAAGTTAAATTCCCTTTACCAGTGTAACATATTCACTGGTTCTTGAAGATTAGGATATGGAACATCTTTGGGAGGCCATTATTCTGCCTGCACAATATCATTGGATGTCAGAGAATTCACACTGTGATAAACTCTCACCTAACTATTAAGTAAATTTGGTAAAGCATGTTACCTGATAAGTACTTATCTATAATGATTATGATCCAAATTTATTAACATGCTATTCCATAATTAGGGACTCTTAGACTGGGATTGTTATATGTGTGCACAGTGGGATGCATTTTAAATATTTGAATCAAATTATCAGCACTGGAAAAGAACCTTAAATATCTTAAAAGAACATAAGATTCATGTTACCTGAAGTGTTTTCAGACACTTTTATTTATTCTAAAATTGTATAGATTTACATATTTTATATATGGAATGTATTTGACATGATGTATTTAGATATTGAGTAATATTTTTTCTGTTCAGTTCCCACAATCCCTTTTTCTTTAAGTTCCACTTCCATATATGTATATATATTTCCACTTACCTCAAATGTCTTTTAAAAATACACAAAATATATGAATGAACTTTTTCATATATTGGTAAATAGGGAAATTCTGACAGCTTTTCCTGAAAGAAAGAAAAATGAAATGAGCAAGAATCTTCCAATCATTATATGCTATGATTGTCCCAGCTTACTGCCTTTAGAAAACTTCCGATCTGCAGTATAGAGAGTAAAAGCCCGAACAGATTTCAGCTGTCTCTCTGAATTGAGATAAAAGTTAGAGTATGAGAAATTTAACGTTGCCTAAATATATGGATCTGATTACTGAAGAAGAGGTTTACTGTGACAGAATTCTAGAGCGTTTCTTCACAAGCCTTTCTGTAAGACATAATTCAGCACATATATCTAAGAAACCTGTTTTTCTGACTTGAGAAGGAACCATTAGAAATAAAAAGAAAAATTCTTGGCAGTCATACAAGGTTGGGAATAATTTGTGCTTCTATGAACTAATCTGGAAGTGCCTCCTAACATTTGGAGAATTGGCAGTATTTTTGAGTTGGAGTCTCACTCTGTCACCTAGATTACAGTGCAGTGGCACACTCCCAGCCACCACAACCTTGACCTGCTGGGCTCCAGTGATACTTCCACATCAGCCTTACAAATAGCTGGAACAACGGGCATGCACTAAGCCGCCTGGCTAATTTTGGATTTATTGTAGAGACAAGGTCTCGACAAGTTGCCTGGGTGGGTCTTGAGCCTGCAGGCTAAGGCAATTCACTTGCCTCAGCCTCCACAAGTGCTGGGATTACAGGCTGAGCCACTGAACCCGCCTGCAGTTGGTTTTTGTTTTGTTTTGTTTTGTTTTTGAGTTGGAGTCTCACCCTGTCAGCCAGACTGGAGTGCAGTGGCTGCTTCCGGCCACTGCAGCCTCTACCTGCTGGACTCCAGTGATCCTTCTGCCTCAGCCTTCCAAGTAGCTGGAACTACAGGTGCATGCTACCATACCCGGCTAATTTTTTGATTTATTGTAGAGAAGAGGTCTCGCCAAGTTGCCCAGGTGGGTCTCAAACCTGCGGGCTCAGGCAATCCATTCACCTCAGCCTCCCAAAGCGCGGGATTACAGGCTGAGCCACCGAGCCCGGCTTGCAGTTGGTTTTTAAAAGAGTGTTTTCTTAGTGGGTGGCTCATATTAACTGGAGACTAAAGTCTGCTTTGAAGCCTCATCACAAAGCATCCATGCAGGCCACTGTAAGACCAAATTTTCCAAGTTTATTTAGTAAATTCCCAGAGTGACCAATAATTAAAGGAATGGAAAGCAATTTGTTAGTCAATAATGTAAAATTTAGTAGGTCTGGAATCTAATTAAAACCTAGGTGCAGAGTTCCAGCCTCAGGAGAGCAGGGCCTGAGTTGGGGGGAGGGAATGAGAAAGAAAGATAAAGAACAGTGGGATTGGGAGGACTCTTTCCTAAATAGGTGAGAGCAATTTTATTCTCACAGCATGCCCTTTCTATAAGGCCAAACCACACAAACAAGAAATATCTTAGTGCTAACATCAGCAAGAAAAAGGTTAACGTTCATGACTTTCTTGTCAAGATTACAACAGTACTGATGTCTGTATTATTAAGATTTAAAGTAAAACCACTAATGTCTATTTTCTCTAAAACTCTAAGTAAAGTTAATATTAAAGCAGGTTACATCTGGCCTACACAGACTAGAGGTCACACTTTCTGATTACTAAATCAACATTGTCAGGGGCAACTATCGAAAGAAGGAAGTACTGGCCAAGCTCTTGTTGGAGCCAGGCCAGAAACACAAGGACCTTGTCAAGCTTGTATATCTCAAGGCATAAGGACCTTGTCAGCTTATGTCTTTGTCTCCTTCATCTAGGTATGCAAATGAAGCAGGAAAATCTGGTACATAATGAAGAAAATTAAACTGAAAGAGATCTATATGTGGAATAATGATAGAATTAGCATAAAAACATGTTAAACAGCTATTACAAATGTTTCATATCAGTCCATCATGGCGGCTCATGTCTATTTGTCAGCATTTTGGGAGGCCAAGCCGGAAGGATTGCTTGAGCTCAATGGTTAGAAACCAGCCTAGGCAACATAGAAAGACCTTGACTCTACACACAATTTGAAAAAAATCAAATTAGTTGGGTATGGTGGCATGTGCCTGTGGTCTCAGCTACTTGGGAGACAGGTGGAAGGATCGCCGGAGCCCAGGAGGTTGAGGCTGTGGTGAGCCATGATTGTGCTATGAATTCCAGTCTGAGTAACAGAGTGAGACTCCAACTCAGATGAATAAATAGATTTTTTTAAATGTTCCATATGTTCAAGGAGGATGTATCAAGTGGATTATACGAGTTAAAAATTGTTTTGAGGGTAACAGGAGGCAGATAAGACTCAGTCTAAGCACTGGAGTCCTTGGATATTGAACCCCTAAGGGTGAGTTCAGAATGCTGCAGTTGCCAGCAGTGGGAACTAGGTTCCCCCAGGGGGAGAAACAAGCTCAGCTGGATTTAGGGAGTGAAGTCTCCCCTGTGTCTTGTCCCTGTTTACATTTTCTGGGAACTGAGGCTCCTGTACAGGGTTGTTGAGCTTCCTAGGAAGTGCAGTTTGGCCAAGGGCAGCATCTGAGACAACAGTGCTCGGCTGCTGAGGTTTCTGGAAGTACTGTTTCGAGACCTAACAGTTGTTTTTGATGTTAGGTGTTTGTGCATCTTGGCTGTTTAACCTGTGCAGGGGTCTCCAGCAGACACCCATCATTTTCCTTTGACCATTTTTTCTATATGAATCAATTCTACCTGAGTGTCCACTTTAGTTGAAGAGGGTGCCAGCTAGAATGCCAAACAGTGGCTACTGGGTCTACCTTTGGCAACATGGGTCTAACTTTGGCAACAATATAGGGAACTGACCTTGGGCTGGTCAATGCTAAGCCCATCTGGTAGTTCTGCTCTGACCGAGGCAGACTCATGAATCGGCTCCAGTCGGTTTTTGTCGGTCTGTTCAATAGCATTGCTATGATGGGAAGCATCTCCCACAGAATATATTGGTATGTGGAATTTGTGTGTCCTGGTTCCTCCTGTTCCAGTGGGCCAGATGGAGTTTATGTTGGGGCTTGGAGGAGACTTTAGTGTGGGTCCTAATGAACCTGACTCCACAAACTTTCTTCTTGTAATCCC